GGAATCTAAAGATAAGTGATAAACGTTGTAATATTAACTCTATAATCGAGGGTCTTATCGATTCTACGTGACGTACAGTCGCTGCAGAAATATGTTGACACCTTTTAAAGACGAAATAACTTGGTACTTAAAATAACTAGTTTTCCAGACAGTGAATAAAAACAATTTTGCAAGAATTACAATTGGTCGAAATGATAAAAGACATCGAACATTTGAAGTAACATTCATCTTTAATTTTCACATCATTCCAACTAGCTGCAATCTTTGCAAAATTCTTCTTATTTCATGGCACACTAGCCAACCTAACATCTTAAAAAGTTTCACTTATTAAACCTTGTCAGTAAAATTTCAATTTGAAGAATTACTACTCTGGCACCTTAGACACCTTAGACAGTGCAAGGGGTAAATATTGTATAATTATCAGAATCGAATATTTGCGTTCATTTGTACAAATGTTCGAATATTATTCGGTACCGAGATTCTTTTCTGTATTGTCCGTTCTTCTTTTCAGCAAATAGCTACGCCATTATGGCCTTTTTTTGTCGCAGCCGTTCTCTTTGTTTACCCCCCTCCGCCTTGGAGCTTTCCGGGTAGAACGAATGTTTCGAGACGCAGCCTCGAAAAGCCAAGGGTGGCACGCTTTGCACCCTCTACAATCTGAATACACACGGACTCGTTTCTCCGGCGTTCCTTTTTTCTTCCAGCACCAGTGGTGAATAAAGACCTCCCACATATTTCCGTGACTTCCTCGACCAGGTATCCGGCCTAAGCCACGGGACATCCTGCGAAAGGTCGCGCGAAACTGCGACCCCCGAGCTCCGATATTCACTTTCATGAGCTCGCTTCCTCCCGGCTAAACGGAACACACTGTTGCTACAAGGTTTTTTCGGGAAATCCGCGGTTGGAGGCAAGTGTACGACCTTCCGGCCTCCTGGCTCCTATAGATCTATCGGTCGTCCACCGTAACGCGCCCTTTTCCCAGAAATTCCTCTCGTGGACCACCGACGACAGTTCGTTTTTTATCTTCGTCTTTCACCGCTGCGAACATTCTGTCGTGAAAATATAGATAACAATGATGCTCTCTACCATCCCTATCGAAGACCAGATTTTAGGTTTTAAACGTAGAAATTGACGATGCAACATTTTTTTTGTCCCACTACCGTCTCGTTTGCCATCCTACGACGTGCATTTCATTGTTATCGCATGCAAGGATAAAATAATATGAAAACAATGAATTTAACTCCACAAGGTAATAAATAAAAATTATTGATATTCGAACAGCTTTTAAAGCGCGATAACTTTATATTAGAACTGGACCAAAGGACTGGAATTATTTTTAGATTATAGAGGGACTAATCTACTAGACAACGACTAGAATATTAATATTTATATTTATATTTAATAATAGAGAATAGAATAGAATATTAATATTTATATATATATATATATATATATATATTCTTAATATTCTTATATTATATTAATATTATATTCTTAATATATATTATATATTTATATATATATTTAATAATATTTTAATTTCGCTATTACTTGATGCCGAAAAACTCCCTCCTTACCTTTTCCATCGGAGCCCCCAACAAAAATTAAAAGAAAGCGTTCCAGTTATGTCTAGTAAACTGGAGTCCCTCTATCATATAAAAAATTCAAGTCATCAGTATTGAAAAATTTATTGCATTTTAAAGGGTGTACGAACACTTTTCCAGGCCACTGTATACATGTATCTCTACATGAGTACGCTAATTTCATGGGGGGAGCGTGTAGTTCGTAGGACCCAGGGGCGTAGAGATCGATTGATTTTTCGTGAGCCCTAAGGGAAAACCGTGGATCCTTCGAAATCGTGACTCGGGATCTTGTTCCGTTGGCCACCGAACGCGCTCGAAGGCCGGGAATGAAAAACGGCACGGTGACAACAGATCGACCGAAATCAATTCGTATCTTTCGGTGTTCCTCGACGCGGCACGATCTCGGAAAGACGCATTGCGCTTGTTTCGCAGCGCTATTCCCTTTATGCTCCGGGGTACCTAAGGCTGACCCGCCGTTCCTTTTCCAGAAGAACTCTCTCGGCGGAGTCTCTATCCCGGTATCACGCTGAGCGAAGCGTGGTGCGCCATAAATCTTCGCCCTGTTTTTACGTGTGTGACCCCCGAGCGACTATACCATTATTAGACACAGCTTTCAGCCTTACCCCACGAAGAATTTCACGAAACCGCACCGTAACTAAGCTTCTATAACTCACCAGGCTTCCTTCGCTTTCTGACGTTTATTGACCGGCTACGAATTTACCCTTGTCCTTTCCCGAAAACGCGCCCGAATTTATTACACCCCGTGTCAACAGCCTTCGTGTCGCTCGCAATCGCTACCGTCTCGCAACGTCGAATCCCCGTCGAACTGTGTCCTCTCGATCGCCGAACAAATCAGCCGCGTTCGTTTCGTCGAGGCGTCGCGGCTTTTATCACGGTGATGAGGCCCTCGAACGATGAAAGTTTTAGCACGCGTCTAAGTTACCGAGATCCGCGAATCGGGTGCTTAACATTTTCGTTCCAGACTCTGATAAAAAGAAAAATTTAAGCGCGTTAGTTTCTTTATTTTTTGACAACTTCTCAAGCAACAGCAAAATTAAAAGAAAGCATTTTGATCTAGCAGACTAGTTCCTCTGTCGTTTAAAAGATAAATCAAGCGATTCAGCGCAGTTTCAAAAAGACGATCGCGTTTTTAACCCTTAGAGCTCTATGGACGCATATATGCGTTTGTCGATTTTTTCAATCGATATGCAGTTATTTTCGTGTAAAATTAATACAGGGACACTCGTCAGTAATTTGCCTTCCTTGGGTAGCGATTGGGCGATATTAGGTTCATAAAAATCCCCGGGAATTTCCGAAACGGAAATCCCATTTTATGTCCCACTCTCTAACCAATTAGATTTCAAAATAATTACCTGCACTGTCACCTTTTCGCGACTCGAAGCACTCGAAACGACTCGGTCAGCAGTATCGTCTTGCGAATGTAAGAACCTCGCGGTCTCGCTCGCGTCAACAACGATAGTGCGGAATATAACTTGTTCGATTATTTTGTTTTATTCGTGACACCCTACAAAATGTCAAATCTTGAGGAATATTTCACAAGGGACGACAGTGAAATAGAATATAGTGAATCGCTATCATCGGACATTGAATCAGAAGATTAATTATTTAATCTTCTGCAAAAGAATCACTATAATTTATTACTGTTTGCGCCTCGAATAGTCGCTTCGGTGTGGCAAAAAAGTATTCCGCCCCCAGCGATGGTCAGCGATAGCCGCGCTCCGTCCCTACGAACCGTTTCGGCCAGGAGTATTCAGAGCTCGAAAGGTTAAATATTCGTTCTAAAATAAAAATTCGCTTCTTCAAATTCGTCGATCCGTTTCAAATGAATTCGCGTTCTATCGTTTCAAGATTCGTCTATTCGTCGCGGAAGACGTCGAAAGGTCGATTTCGTTTTCGTAATAAAACATTTCCGTGGACCCGATGGAGGGGCCTGGGGCGCAACGCCGAAGGTGGCCATCGTCCGCGGGGTGCCAGCAACAGTGGACATATTGTTGTCGGTCGCGTAGCAACCGATCAAATATCTGTTTCAATGTTCCCTGTGATTTCCCGCGATACGATGGCTATAAAAAAAACAAACAAACAAAAAAAATGAACGAAAAGCGATCTCTCCGGCCATCCTGGGCGGCTGTCAGACGAATATCGGTGCGCGCCGGAACGCTGACGGTTTTTCGTTGGGACGGGTCACACAGCCGAAGGGCTCGAATGGCAGATAGGCGAGCAAATGTTGTCGTTGTCGAACAAGAGAGGAGGTAAACTGTCGTCGCCGTGCCGCGGGCCGCGGCGTAAGACCGAAAAACGACGAATCGCAGCGGCCGGTGTCAAAAAGCGAGCAACGTGAAAAATTGCCGGCCGCTTCCATAGAAAACTAATAACGGGCTGCCACATCAAACGAGATTCCGGGAAATCATTACTCGGTCCTGTACCAGCGCGCGGCGGCGGCGGCGGCGGCTTCTACGAGCCGTAACGTTTAAACGGCTGATGCGAGAGGTGGTGCTCTGCGGCGGTGGCGATCCGCAGCCCCGGTTCTCCCTGCTCGCTCTCCCGGCTCTACCCTCGCCGCGAGTAACGTCCCGAGTAATATTACGATGACAGTAATTGCCGCTTTGATCAATGCAAACCCAGCCGCGAGTAGGCAGCCCGTCACGCCACCGGGATTCAACGCGATCCTTTCCGGCCTGCTCGAACGTGCCGCGGATGTACACCGTATTTACCGCTTTATCCGCCAACAGGATCTTGATTCGCTTTATCGATTCGATCCGTCTGCTTCGAACGTTTCAGCGAACTTTTAGGGGGGGGGGGGGCGTTGTCGTCGTCGTCGACGTTGCTTCTTCGCGCGGGAAACCGTTGCGGAACGTTCCAGTACGCTTTCGAGAATCTTCGAACAGGCCCAGGATGAGGCTCGATGTTCGAACCGGGAACTTGAAGTCCGCGTGATTTCGGTAACGGTAGTGCACTGATAGGATTGTATTGAAAGCGACGAAGGTAACACCGAAATCGCAATATAATAATATTATATATTATGTTATATATTACATTATATTATATATTATGTTAATATTATTACATTATATTATGTATTATATTAATATTATTACATTATATTATATATTAATATTGTTACATTATATTATATATTATATTAATACTATTACATTATATTATATATTATATATTAATATTGTTACATTATATTATATATTATATTAATACTATTACATTATATTATATATTATATATTAATATTGTTACATTATATTATATATTATATTAATACTATTACATTATATTATATATTATATATTAATATTGTTACATTATATTATATATTATATTAATATTATTATATTATATATTATACAATATATTAGGTTGTTGCAAATGAAAAGACGGTTCAGGAATTTTCAAGTTGATCTGTTATTTAACAAGCTTAATAAATATCTCTTTAATCAAAATGGCCCTCTTCCACATAATTGCACTTCTCCCATCGCGATGCAAGAGTGTTATAATGCCTTTCTAAAAATAATCAAACAGTTGTATTAGTCGAAGAAACAGCTGTATCAATAAAGAAACAAAAATACTAAAAAATCGCAAACCCTTCGAGCGACGCTAATTTCATCAAACGGTGTCTATATTATTACAACGTTAATTTACTAAGTATGTAAAATATTCGTAGATCGTCCTAATTAAATTGTGCATTCGATGCACTTCTGGACAAAACACGTAAGCGACGCAGTGTCATTCTGAGAAATACGAGCTCGATGTTTCACCCCCTAAATCGTTCATAAATAAAAAATGAAGCTTGACGATGCAGCGGTTGCTGGGTCATTTAGTATTTATAAAACTGTCATCGCCGACCCTAATATTTTATATTGCGCATGAAGAATATTTACGCGTGTTTCGTTGTTCCCGGCTAAAAATGCTCCACGCGTAAATGTCAATTGTTTGGCAATGGCGGTACGTGGAGCGACTTGCCAACGTTAACACTTCCAAGACGTTTATGAGGTCCGTATAATGATCGTTGAAGAGTATGGCGACGATTTTATTATCGGTTCAAATGCCAAAGCTTTGTTTCAAGATACATATGTACTGGTCCCGAGGACTTTCGATGTCTGTTGTTGAGTTTTCTGACAGGATGCTTGCGAAGCCTGGTTAATTTAACCTTCATTGTCCAAAAAATCGATTAAATCGAATCGTTGGGCCACAGCGTTGCAGTTAACGTTTCAATAAACATCTCTCATGGTTCACCGTTCGCAGATTCTCGCATCTCTTTTCACAATTCGACGATGTCCCCGTTCGAATCCGAAACTACGATAATTTTTCCCTAATTCGCACGCCATAATCGTATCTCTTTTTCCCTAATTCGCACGTCATAATCGTATCTCTTTTTCCCAAAGCAGCACGCTGCACTTTTTTATTCCACGCGATCCGACAATTTCGTTGCATCGCGCGTTTAATAATAAAACAAAGGTTACGTCGCCATCAATTATTTATACATTTGGCGCGGTCGCGCGGCTCGACAGAATGTGCTGTAAATCGGTCGATTTTACGAATGCTTTATTAACGCAAGAATTACCGGGTGTAAAAATTACGTAAAAGTCACGAGACGATGCAGACCGGGCCATCCGCGTACGATTTCTTCCGCCACTGCTCTGCGATCCCCATCGCGGCGACGTTGCACAGGCCCGCTATAGAGAGTCTATGGTATAGTATAGTCAATGCTGTACGCATAGCATCGTCATGGCCGGGGATCGCGTAGCAGTGGCGGAAGAAGTCGTATGCGACTCGCGAGCCACAAGTTTCCCAGGCCTGATGCAGACGATTAGAACGTGACGCTCTTAGATTCATAATTACTATAAAAAGCGGCGTGGCAATACAGTTTTTCTTACGAGATTTTTCTGCGCGAAATGATCGACGTTTCTGTATACATGTATCGTATATATACATATATAATCGTGTATAAATAACAGTATTATATACATATATATTATATTATATTATATTATATCATATTATATTATATTATATTATATTATATTATATTATATTATATTATATTATATTATATTATATTATATTCATATTATATGAATAATCGTATATAAATAACAGTATTATGTACATATATGTATATATGTATATAATACTGTTATTCATATTATATGAATTCATATTATATTATATTATATTATATTATATATATATTCATATTATATGAATAATCGTATATAAATAACAGTATTATATATATAAATTATTAACAAACAAAATCATTTCTCTTGGTCGCTTAGAAATCGGTAAGCCATTTTCCGCGATGCTCAGTGCGTTCACACTTTTTTTTTAGGTCGGGTATCCCGTGGTTAAAGTGCCGTTTCCACGGTTACATAATCACGGCTAGGCAAAGTACAAATACACAGACACCGTTAAATCATCAAACTGTTGGTTACACCGCCGGTGTTACCCCGAGGAAGAAGATACGCCCGACGTTCGCGTGGCGAACAATCGAAAATCTAAATACAGAGGCGGTCGTAAAACCGAGAATATCGAGGACCCCGGCAGCAGCAGCGAAGAAGACGTAGAAAATGGTTTCGCCGAAAGAAAAAAGAAAGAAAAAGAAAAAAGAAAAGGTTACGATCGCGATGGAAAATCGTCGACGCTATTAGGAATCGGCGAATGACGGTTGATGGGAGCGTAGGGAAATCGAAGCCATCGACCGAGACAGATAGCTTCGCTCCCCTCCCCGCGGCCCCCCTCTAACCCCCCTCTGTCCCCCCTGTCACGCCTCCCGCTTATCATTCTCCTCTTCTTTCCTTCTCTTTGACCCGCAGTTTTATTTGCGGCGGAATAAATAAAAATTTACGAGCAATTTACGGAGGGTCCTCAGCCAGGTCAGGGGGATCCATCAATTTACTCCGAAGTGCTCGTTTGGCGCGCAGGCTACAAAATCGTCGACGAAGTTCTCTTTATGAAGCTAGAATAGATTAATGCTCTCGTTTGTTCGGTAATGGCCCCGATAAATTATCTTAATAGCTCGAGGCGGCTATAAATATATTCCTCAGTTCCTGCGCTCTTACGCTTGTTTTCCTGGTATATCGCTGTCTCTCTGCACGCCGTCGAACTGCCATGTTTTCCGTGTCACTAATTCTAAGAATGAGCGAGACCACGGGGCCGGGGGGCACGAGCGAACAAAGGCGTTCGGCGTAAACGATGTCGTTTTGGCACCGGCGTGAATTATTTCTGCTTACCGCACCGCCGCCATTGTCGTATCGTTAGCTCGCTCCTCCAATCGAAATACGTGTGTGCCCGACAGACATCGATGCCGTCGCGAGACGTTCTACATTCGATACGAATTATCGATTCCGTTCTCGCGATTCTACGCGCGTCCTTCGCGACAATAGACTAATCAGTTGCAAAATAACCGTTCGATTACCGTTGCCGCCGCGTCGCTGTAAATCAGGGGTTGAAACGGTTACGCGTAATGCCGGCTCTAAATTGAAACCAAAAAATTACTGTAATTAGCTTTATATTTGTCGACTAAGACGTATTAAATTTTTTCTACTCTTTTATTTGATTTATTTTTAAATAGGAAAACTTATTTTCCGAAGAACAGGAGTATACCTTAGATTTTCGGCACAGTAATTAATCTGTTGGTAAATAAAAATTAAAAAAATAAATAAATAAAATATTTAAAAAAAATAATAAAAATTAATCTGTTAGAAAGATAAGATGGCGATGAATCGATATTTTTATTTCTTCATTTCGTTCGTTTTTTAATTAAAAAGACTGCATATTGTGTTATTCGGTAAATTATAAAGTTAATTATGCCAGGAAACAAAGCGAAGAGCACACCGCGCTCCGCTATCCTATTTCGCATACGATCGTTCCATCTCTACGATAAATCTATGAAATCCGCGTTGCAACGACGAGACCGAGGACACCCGAAAGTAGAATGCGCGACGGTCCCCGCGCGAGCGTGTTAATTATTGTAAAAAGTAATCGGATACGAATTGAACGTGGCGCTCGGAAGATCAAAAGAAACGAAAGGAGAGGCTTAATATACACGTTTCGGCGGTAGACAGCGTGTGCACCGGCATTTGGCAGAAATTAGGTTGGTAATGCATCAAGTGCCGGTCTCGGCAGCACTTAATGCCGTAAAGTTGTTTGATGGCACCGCTATCACCCCTAACAGTTCCTAACAGTTCAACGCACAGCTCACGTTGCGCCCCGGAGTCTGACACTGCAACCGTGAGTTATTCACTTAATGCGGCCATTACGCGCTCCTCGATGGCGCTTCATCCTGATTTACTTGACAAGCATTTATTGCTTCTATCTCGGCTAGCGATATTAAACCCTCTGCTCGCGTTTCCTATGTACGAACGTTACACGCTTCTCCACCTACGTAGCAAGCCCTCGGTATTGGCTTAGCGAAGTGCATCGAGGAAGGATGATCGTCACGGTATAATCATGCGCACCGCCACGGACCGTTTAGTAAATTCCGGACGCACGTCTAAATTCTAATGGCCTGTCCCGCCGCCATCCCCGTTTTACTCCTGATTTTCTCGTCGCCGATTCGACCGTTTCGTCGCGCCGAGCCCGGCAAAAATAGGGCTCTGCGAGATCGCCGACACGTCGCGAAATCGTTTACAATCTCAGCAATAGGTTTTTTAAATCGTTTGCGCACCACGAGCCACTTTTGCGCTCTTCTGATTTTGTGTCGAGAAAAGCCAGGGCATTCGGCCGAAACAGACGACTTACGGCCCACCCGAAATTTGTCGAAACGTGCTCAGTCTTTCGGACGCATGTATACGTCGCGCGTCGCATCGCTGTCAGTAATCCAATTTGCATTTTCTTGTTACCTATTCTAAATTGATAGTATATGTATTTTCATTCGGAACGTTTTATTTTATGTTTTGCGGCTTTTTTCGACACTTAATCGAAGGAGCGCTATCGCGCTCTTCGGCGCAAACGGTTAAATCGTTCGATTAGCTGTTGCATATATTACACACTACGTGTAACCCTATAAATGTTATTCCACAAGTGGTCGCTAATTGCTGTCGAGCAGATGCGAAATGAAATAAATTACATTAATAAATAAAACAGAGATTAGAGTTACAATCATAGCGCTCAGTTGTCAGCCTTGCTTAGGATTCTTTGTTCACCTATTTCCCGAGAGAACCTATAGAGAATAGAATTTGAAAAGAGCAGTCGAAGTTCGCGCGTCGGGGCTCGGAATTAAGTGCACGCAACGCGGCGATGTCGAGCGTGCCAGTTACGTAATTGCGAGCCCTGATCTAAGCGACAGTTTTCCGTGTTTGCAACTGCAATCGTGCTCACCCTTGCTTTATCAATTCCTGCAAGTTATTATTAAGAACGTGTGAACTTCTTAATATCGTCGATCTCTCGAAGTGCTTAATTTCGAAATTATTATTATTATTATTATTCGGTCGATCTCGATATTACTTTTGAAGCAAGACGGGAACATTATCGTCGTCTAAAAATAACCTGATACGATGTCTCGAACACGCTGTTTATTTCCAAGAATAACCGAACTAGCCGCGCAAGAAGATCGTCTTTCCTCGGAAAATGGACGTAGATTCGTTAAAAAAAACAGACACCGGTGGTAACGCTGAATGTATTTCTTGCGGTCATTTGCTACCCGAATACATAAAAGTGTCAGGTACGAAGGTGATGACTAGAGGGAAAATTTTGCTCGCGCTATAATACGAGGTATGCCAGCTTGTTATTACGTTCGAAATCATTTTTCCACGTTTCTTGCTTTCGCCGCGGCCACTTCCGCGCTATTCTCCTTCAACTATTCTATGCTCGGACGCTTGACACGATATTTAATATTATAGACGCAGTATCTGTAAACAATTTATTGCCAAATTTTATCCGCATTCATATGTCGTAGACCGAGGGTGTCAAACTCAAAAGCTAACTTGGGCCAAATAAACAATGCTTAACTTTAGGTGGGCCGCAAAAAAAAAAATCAATGTTCATAGAAACAAATATTTTTATTTCGACTAGTACATTGTAATAAACATATATAAAGTTAAATTATTGTTTACGTCCTGATACTTGACATCTCTTCTCTGATACTGCCTTTCCTATTTCGGGAGAAATTTTATTGGCCGAGACTATGATATTTCTATTTTATTTTTACTTTGCGTCGGATATATATTGATTGGGCGCAAAAATGTTCATCTCGGGCCGCGAGTTTGGCACCCCTGTCGTAGACGGTCTTGCAAAAATTATACGAATTGTCACTTTGTTATTCAAGTTCTCGTATTACATTTCTCGCAAGTTGATCGTATCGCGAGTCCGTCGCAATTCCGTCGCTGAAAGAATTCTTTATGCGACAATAATGTGGCAACGATACGGTTGAATGTGTAACGTTTTGATAGTAGAGGTCAACAAGATAGCAAAACGTCTGGGATACTTTGTAGAGCTGCGACGTGTCGGACCGCGCAAAATACGCATAATATCCGTGGAATGGCGTAGAAAGCGTGCAACCGAATCTACGAAATATCCGGCACACGAATTGCCTTATAAACAACAACGAAACAACAATGAAATAACAATTAACCCCGAATGGATACTTTCTATCTAATGAACTTCAGCGACATTTACAACAACG